ATACCAATTGTATAGTGTACAAAACATTGAGTATTCTACATGTTATAGTCATCTAATGTTCAAATATTGTTGGCTGGTAATTCCTGTTTCACCCTGTACTTATGCTGTTTAAAGGATTACATTTCTGTAAGAAAGTTAACTTCAAGAGGTAATAACATCGTTTACATTGAAATTATGATTTGTTTTTATTTTTCCTGTAATAATAATAACATAGGTAGTCAAAAAATCACGAAGACTGTTCGCTCAATGAAATGATGATAAAATTGAAATTATTGCTAGAACTAGGACGACGCTAGGAGTGTTGAAGAAAGATGATGATGAACGAAAATAAGAAATCTCGGTTTTGGCTATTCGCTTGTTTTCGACTTTGGGGCGTTCTGGATAGCTGAAAAGCGGCATATACAACGGAAATAAAGCGACTATGCCAGGTAGCACTTCATATCTAGCTTCTGATTACCTGTAGAGAAGAAAATCCAAATGATTTTTGTATTGCTTTAATAGGGCGTCCGAGACATCCCTACATAGAAAATGTAGCGCACTCTCTGCTAGTATATTGGATCTGATTAAAACCTATTACCTGACATCATGAAAACGATTGTCGAAATGTAAAGAAATATATTGTTTTGCACTGTCGGATAGCAAAAATTGCAACAACACTTAGAAGCCTAAATTTCTAGTTTATCTTATTTAAATGACCTAACCCAAAATTGCCATTGGTGTTTGGATTCTATCGTATCTTTAAACACACTTTTCTAAACTGTTTTTGTACAAAATTCCTTATGAATCCATCCATGATTGCGTTGGTTACAGAATTCCTAAAACATGTGAGTCACAAAATAATTAAATAAAAATACCATCATTTTTTTCAGGTGATCGTACTTATTAGTGTTGGGTTCCTGTTTGTATTTTACGTATAAAGCATATGTGATCAGTTTTTACACTGAATGTTGTGAAAGGGGAAAAATAAAATTACTCAGTATTATGCAATATATTGAAACTTCCTTCTACCACCACCAATAGTGAGTAATATAAAAACAAGTTGAAAACTGAGGGTTTGTTTGTAATTATGCACAAATCTACACAATGGGCTATCTGTGCTTTACCTACTAAGAGTATCAAGAAACCCGGTTTCTAGCGTTATTAGTCGTCAGACATATCGCTGTGCAAAAACAGGGGGCAAAAACTGAGGGATAGAAATAGGCTTCAGTTTCATTTAAATGACACATTTATGCTAACATAGTGAACATTCACTACAAACATTTAATCTGTGTAATATATCTCAAATAGCTTGCTTTCTTATGTTCCGTGTTATGATGCAGATTGTTTTCTATGATAGTGAGTAGTTTAGAGGTCATGACATGTTCCGTGTTATAATGTCGATGGCTCTCAATAACATTGAATAGCTCAGAGATCATGGTATGTACCGTTTTATAATGTCGGATTGTCTTCTATGATAGTGAACAGAGAAACATTATTGTAATATGGGGTTGCCAGGGGAGAAGGGGTGGTCTATCGGAACGATACTATAGGTTGGAATTTCCAAGGAGGTCAAACGAAACTTTATTATAGGTTGTGATTTCTGAAGATGTTAAGAAAAACGTTACTGTAGGTTGAGATTTTTCGCGGTCAAACGAAACGCTATTTGTAGATTGTTTTGTCCAGAGGCCAAGCGAGACGTTATTATAGATTATAGCTTTCAGAGAAATTAAGCGAAACTCTACTCTAGATTGGAACTAACGGGAAGGTCAAACGAAACGTTATTATAGGCTGTGATTTCCAGAAAGGGTCAAATGAAACGTTATTGTTGCATGTCACTTCAAAGCAGACAAAGAAATGTACCCTGAAATTTGGCACTGATCCAACTAGATCACGTCCCGACGTCGGGCTTAGCTTGTAATCAGAGTTGGATGGACCCATTAGTATCGATCGGTCGTATCTATTCCAGGCAGCTTCTGACTAACGCTAACATGTAACCTTGGTTAGTTTATATGCTGACTTAAAGATTTTTTGTGTATGTGAGTAGGTATATATTTCGGTATCAACTACCCTTTAATCTAGCTTTAGGTACAGATGACGTCTTGGTTAAAAGCCCCATGACGATTTATAGATATATCAGGAGGTACAATTAGCTTAGAAAAGTGCAATGATTTATTTTGTCCTCGTCCAGGTTTTTCATGTGGTTATCACGAGACAATTTTGCATGTAATTTATTGCCAGTGTTGAATCCAGACCTTTCCATTGGGGTGGGGGAGATGTGACAAATTTCTCTCAGCAGTAAATAACATTTGTCAAGCTTATTTGTATTTATGGCACAACTACTAATACCGCCGTCCTTAATTTTGAACTACAAAGCAGAGAGAGGGCAGCTAACCAGTAACACCATACCACCCACCCTACACGCTAAAGGATTGATTGTTACTCTTATAACATACCCAGCTTAAAGTGTGAGGAACATTTTATGGTCTTTCAATGATGTGTACCCTCGCTACTACTGGGCCAACCCACGCACATTTGGCATGTGAAAATAAGAGACAGTAAACAGTGTTGAATTCAGGGGGTGTACAGAGGGGGAATTCCCCCTGTACAAAAAATTCCTCCCTGAAGTAGAGTATTTTCCTTTTTTACGTGTAATATAAGATACTAGTTTTGATATTTTAACAAAGGAAGTTTTAGCTGAAATGAAACGCAGTTTCTTGTTTTTTTTTTGTTTGTTTTTTTCACGACCGGATTTACGTGAACTAGTGATAAGCGTGTCAGGCTGCGGATCAACAATCCACAGTTCAAGTCACGATATACTGCTGAACACGTTCCATAATTTTAGCTGTGAATGTGTTAAAATAATGACAACTAATCCCGCATATTAGGCGACGGACGTTTCTGACTAGTTGCACTGTACTTGGTCAGTATTTCTAAGTTAAGGCCTCAGAGGCCTCTGATCTGACTGTTTAGCTCATGTGCCGCCTAAGATGCTATTCGCGTTGAAAATTCAATACCATTTATTTGATATTTGACATAGTTAATTAGATGTGCCAATTAAAATGAAATTTTACCCGTCAATTTTAAGAAGACATAACAAGCCATGTTATTTGGCTCTCATCTTAGTAGTATGCAGCATAGCTAGTGGCTACGTGAACGTACATGATGTTAGTTATATACGGTATCTATTCACTACGAGACTAACAAGTATTCACAGTACAAAGTGATTGAAATATTACTGTACACAGCACCTAATGATTGATAGTACCACGTGCACTACTACAGAGTGGCTACTAGATGTACACGTTACAAGGTGACTACTAGACTGCCAGGTGTACACATAATCTAGTAACTGATATAGACAAATGTACGCAGTACATAATAACTGCTAAACTGCCAGACGTAAACGTCAAAAGTTGACTGATAGACTGCTAGGAGTGTACAGCACTAAGTGACTGTTAAATTACAAGTGTAACACAGTACCTAAAGACTGATAGACTAACAGGTGTACACGGTGACTGATAGTCTTTAAGATGTAGATAACACCTAGTGACTGCTAGTATATCATAGTGACTGCTAAAATGTCACGTGTACAAAGCGCCTAGTAACTGACAAACTACAAGATGTACACAGTGCCTAGCGACTATTATACAATCAGCTTAAACAACGATTAGTGACTACTATATTATCATATCAAAAATATCTAATCACTGCTAGACTATCAGGTGTACACAGTATCTTGTCACTGCTACACTATCAGGTGTACAATGTGCATTATGACTGCTAGACTATCAGAAGTATAATGTGCATTGTGACTGCTAGACTATCAGGTGTACACTGCGACTCTAGTCACTTCTAGATTATTAAGTTTACACGGTATCTAGTCACTGCTAGACTATCAGATGCATACAATATCTAGTTGCTGCTGTATTATCAGGTGTATACAGTGCATTGTGACTGTTAGACTATCACGTGTATACAGTGTGTAGTTACTGCTAGATTATCAAGTGTTTACGGTGTATTATGACTGGTAGCCAAACAGGTGTACACAGTATCTAGTCACTGCTAGACTATCACATGTACACAGCGCCTCTAGTCACTGTTAGACTATCAGGTGTTCTCTGAACGTGGAAAGGTTGGATATACAAAAAGGTTAACAGATTTATCCATTGTCGGTATGTTTAGTTAGTGTGTGATGAATATATTAACAAAGAGAATGGCATGACTAGCTAGCTAAAAATATACTGCTGCTAACATAGGCGTAAGGGATTGCTTTTGACCAGGGGGGGCAAGCAAATCGACCTTAAAATCATGTACTATAAGGTTTAAGGTCGCTTGAAAAAAATGGGTCCAATGACTTCCATGCGGAACCATATGGTGCTAAAGGGTTAAAAAGGTGCAAATGAAAATGTCACATGTGGATAATATATTTTCTGAAAAGGCATAATCAATTTGCAAATATAAAAGTTACAGATATGTACGGAGCTTTTGCCCCAATGTTTGGGTGATTGTTGCCTGAAAAACTATTTGGGCCAGAATTTGACCCCCCGCCTCCTACGCCTTTGGTTGCTAATGCTCTAACGTTGATCACTACATTTTATTTAGATTTTTATCATATACTTAGTAAAGCTTTGGCCTTATGGTTAGTATGCTCGGGTTGTAAATTAAAGGATGTACGGTTCGTGGCCCGTTGCCGCAATAAACGCGCTCTGAATTTTGATGCGCGGATGCGCTCTAAGAGTGACGATCACATCTTACAATTCGTCGAGACAAGAATAGTCCAAGAGTTGTTGATACTTTTTACCAGTGTAACTTCGCAAGAACGCTCTAAATAAAGAAAAAATCCTCCTTCTCTAATCTATCCATATATATATTGGTGACACAAAGTTGTTTGTCTTCAATTCTTTCTGTGCAGAAATTTAGTACTTATGAGACTGCAGATGTGGCTGTAACTTATTGATATAATACATCTATTATAGATGGATAGATTATAATTAAACATGGAAGTAATTTTTATTTCACAGTTTCTTAGGTCAACTTATAAACTAGTGTGATGCAGAACATTCCAAGAAAACAGACTTCCAAGGGTGAGCTACAGGTTGGAGACAAGGTTGAGCTTCAGGAGATGCAAGGCCCGCTACTCGTGGAAAATGGGAATCTTCAAACGTATGGTAGTACCAACGTGGCTTTCGAGTCTGATACTAGTCCTCAAACAGCTGAACCAATCACCATGGATATGGTTTCCATGGTGGAAAAAGATGGTTTCAAGCCAGAGGAACCAGAACAAAGGGAATCCTGGGATAGCAAAATTCAATTTATCTTGGCTACTATCGGCTACGCTGTTGGTCTTGGTAATGTGTGGCGATTTCCCTATCTGGCCCAGAAAAATGGCGGAGGTAAGTTTAATCATACCTTACATGAGATTTGGATTTATGTAATATTTCTGTGCTCACCAGTTAGCGTGTTGGCCTGTAAACCCGGAGATTCATTACCGCAAAAACGCGCTCCGCATTTTAGGACCGTAGGTGCGCTATAAGAGTGACACTCAAATCACACTATTGTATCACACAAATGTAGTCCAAGAATTGTATTGAGTATTGTTGAGTAGCCATCACTCTATTCTACTACTTCACAATTAAGAGTGGGTTTGCGCAAATAGACCATGTGTAGTTTTGTGAGAAAATCTAAAGCAAAGAAACAAAACCTATACAATACAGACGTTGAGTACCTATATTAGAACGATTTTTGTGTTCTTAATACGTCGTTTTAATTCATATCACCATGTCCGGTGATGCTATGTCTTACGAGTGTGCACCTTGACTATAGCCCTGTATCGTTTTTCTATTCCCAAAAAATTTCAACGTAAGACTGTCATGTCCAAAGCACACCACTCTTGCCGGCTTCTTTCCCAGTGCCAGTTTCAACAATCCGATCGCTCATAAATACACAGGCATTGCGTTCGTCGACTTTCCTGGTATATTCGTATGGAATAACTTGAATACCCCTTCCTTGAGGTACGCGACGATTGAACAAGTATATCGTATAAGAAATTTGTGTACCCATGCCTTATGTCGCTTATTCCAGGCCGAAATTCTTCTTGTCTATGTTGCATGGGGCATGGGAACAGCTTTTGCCACTGACCTTCATGTTTGTGGATTATCACATATTACAAGACGCCGCACTTTGTTTACTACGGCTGGGGCACGACTTGTTACAGGTCTTTTTTTTAGAGGGGATAGTCCTGGTGCTCCAACTTAATCCATATACCTTTGTTTTCCAATGGCATTATGTACAAAAGATAACCCCATTCTGTAAATTATTAGTCCCAGATCTGAACACATCTTTATGATCTGCGTGCATGAATATTTTGCGTCAAAAGAGCTGTTACATACCCTTTACAAAAGCGATAACTTTTCAGTGGCATCACAATGCTTACGAAACAAAAAAACTATTTCATAATATAGTTCTGATACATTCAGTTCCTCTATGAATTTGTATCAGCCGCGATTAGCACGTGACTTGCTGATTTACATATACATATTTAAAATCATTTTAATATAACGTACTTATCCCATTGTAATTTTTGAAACAGCGTTATAGCTTGCCAGATATGTCTTATTAGCTCCCATTGAACAAAACACTGTTGTAAAGTTTTGACATCCTGACATAGTAAACATGCGTAATTAAACAAGTATCGAACTTAAAACAAAATGCCCCCCAGCGGCACAGCGGTATGTCGGCAGAATTAGAACGCTAGAAACCGGGTTTCGATACCAGTGGTGGCCAGAACACATATAGCTCATTATGTAGCTTTGTGTTTAACTTGAAACAAACAAAAAACAAAATATATAGAACCTATTGCATCTATTATTATTATTGAGTTTAACCAGCTAGAACACAACCAAACAACTTTTAAAGTTATCTCCTAAGATTTAATCTAACTACAGCTTACAGTTAATGATTTAATAGTTTATAATATATATATATTCATATTTCCTTTATATTAGAAATTTTCTTTATCATTTTCAGGAGCATTTTTGATCCCGTACTTTATTATGTTAGCCGTGGAAGGTGTTCCACTGTTCTTCTTGGAACTAGCCGTTGGTCAAAGGCTGCGGAAGGGGGCCATTGGCGCATGGAACTTAGTGTCTCCATACATGGGCGGGATTGGGATAACCAGCGCTGTGGTGTCATTTAATGTAGCCCTATACTACAACACCATTATATCCTGGTGTCTCTTCTACTTGGGCCGCAGCTTCCAGTTTCCTCTACCCTGGGCAGAGTGTCCCAGATACATCTTCCCTAATGGCTCTTCCACATTGGTTCCTGAATGCGAGGTAAGAACGTAACGCTCTTTTAGCCATAAGTACTGAAATAAAACATATTTAGGTTTCAGGTCTTGAGTTGTTGACTGGACAAACGAGGAGATTAAATGAGTTTTTTCACTATACTATGTAAATATTTAAGGGCAGTTCCCGATTATCTGAATATATATTTTACATTTGGCAATTGTTTTTCCTTTGAGATAAATGCAATCATTTATAAAAAGCAAAAACAAAAACAAACAAACTTTTAACAATTCAATTTTTGATTTGAAGCTTTTAAACTGTGCGATGTGCAGAGCCATTCCCTGGTGTTATTATTGGTATTATTATCATTACTAACAGCTACTGTTGCTTACTCATTACTTCCAAGAGAATTCAAACTCATTCATCATTTGTGAATAAGATAAAAACTTATGAGTAAAACTTTCAGTAAAAACTATGAGTAACTTCCTTCATAGGGAGGGTGTGGTGTTTGAAAATATATTAGGAATCCATCAAGGAAAGAGGTTACTTTTTATCTAAGGGTTCCTGTTGCTGAAGATGATGTTGTTGATTCATCAAGAAATAAGATGACCCTTTTATCTAAGTGGGTCAATCTCTGAAGCCTAAATTCTTGACACATCAAGGAATAAGATTACGTTTCATCTAAGTGTGCCTGTTGTTGAAGATGATTTCCTTGACCCAATAAGAAATAAGATGACCTTTTACCTAAGTGGGCCAATTTCTGAAACTGATATTCTTGACACATCAAGAAACAAGATTACATTTCAACTAAGAGTGCCAATTGCTGAAGACAATGTCCATGACCCATCAAAGAATAAGATGACACTTTACATAAGTGTGCCAGTGTCTGGAGATGTCTTTCCAAGCAGCTTGGTCAGACTTTTTAATAAAAATAACGATTTTGTGAGCTCAGTGAGTTAATTATATGAAAACATCCTATTTGCTAAAGCCTCAAGCAATGGTTATCCCTAAAATATATTTTTAGTTATTTGAATGAATTCACAATAAATTTTAGAAATAGTGAATCCCTGAGTTTTCTGGGTTAGTTCATAACTGTCTCTCGTTCTTCATGTGCTATTTTATAACAGTCTTTTGCCCTTTCCTTATTAGTTTTTAATTAATTTTCTTCTTGTCTATTTTAGTTTATTATAGCTTTGCCTTTCTTTTCGTCTGTGTTAGTTTACAACAGAGTTTCTCTGTTACTTATAAAGCATCTTTACCTTTCGTCCTCTTTGTGTTACTTTATTACTGACTTCTTTTGTCCTTTCTGGTGTATTGTATAGCTCTATCTTCTAACCACTTTCGTGTTCGTACAATAATGTATTTTCATTTGTTTCGATGATAATATGCGTCTGTACTTCTTTCTACGATACTGTGTGGCTTTCTGCTTTTTTGTGTTAGTGTTTTTTGTTTTACTTCTTTCTTTGATTTCATGTTAGGGTATGGTTGAACGTCTGTTTCTATGCCAGCGTATAATTCTACATTTCCTTCTTTCTATTCTACAGAGTATAATTCTACTTATTCTTCTCTCTTGATTGTGTATGGTCATTTCTTATTTTCTTTCTATCTATTGTGAGTGGCTGTTTTTCCAAACTTTTTGAGTTAATATATGATTGTTCCTATACTTCTTTCTACGTAAGTGTAATTTTGCATTTTCCCTTCCTTTTATGTTAACTGTATTGCTGTACCTTTCCTAATTTCAATGTTAGTGAGGAAAGCTATTTTTAATTTTTCTTTCTCAATATCTAATCATATCTTCTATCATAGTTGTTTTTATATATTTCATTCTTTGTCAGTGTGATAAAAAAATTACTTTCTTCCCAGATCAAAGATAAACGCACGAAAAGTAAATTTGCGAGCAAATAACATAAACTATCGAGTTTTAATTAATGTTTCTCGCTATTTTACTTGACGACTTCCAATGTTTCTAAGTATAGTTACTGTTTCCTCTCCAATTAATATAACCTAGAACTCGGAGCGATGGTTTAGGTAGATCTTGGGTTACGCTGAAATCCCACTAAGTCACGGAAAAAAATCCCACAAAGCCCATTTGACAGAAAATCACTCTATAGGATTAGTGAACAAGAACGTCACGCAAGTTCTTTATCCCAATGTTACTTGTGAAGCTTTGTCAGAGAGGAATGGACTGGTAAAGTAACACAAAACACTTCAACGTTAGTTTATCATGTACAGTGCCTTGCAAAAGTCTTCATCCCACTGTGCTGGTAATAAATGTGAGGTATTTTCTTGTGAAAGACACAATTCAAAAGACCAAAAATATTTATTATATTAATCTCAGACCATTTTCTAATGATTACAAAGAACAATTTAGTGATATAACACAAAAAATGTTATGAAATCAAATATTGCAAAAGTCTTCACCCCTAACATAATTATGCAGTTAATATTTGGTTGAAGCTCCTTTGGCAGCAATGACAGCTGAAAGTCATTTTGGATAACCCTCCACAAGCTTTGCACAGTATACTGGAGATATTTTTGGCCGGTTTACTTAATGATTGTTTAAAGAAGATCTAGTTCATGACATGTTTACTGGAGGCTTGTTTGGTGACTGCAGTAAGAAGATCTAGCTTATGACATGTTTACTGAAGGCTCGTTCAGTGGCTGTAGTAACAAGATCTAGTTTATGACATGTTTATTAAAGGCTTCTTTGTCGACTGCAGGAAGACGATGAAGTTTATGACATGTTTACTGAAAGCTTGTTCAGTAACTGTAAGAAGATTTAGTTCATGACACGTTTACTGAAAACTCATTTAATGATTGTTTAAAGACCTAATTCATGACATGTTTACTGAAGGCTTGTTTGGTGACTGCAGTAAAAAGATTTAGTTCATGGCACGTTTACTGAAAGCTCACTTAATGATTGTTTAAAGACCTAATTCATGACATGTTTACTGAAGGCTTACTTAATGATTGTTTAAGAAGATTTAGTTCGTGTCATGTTTATCGAAGGCATTTTTGGTGACTGTAGTAAGAAGATTTAGTTTATGACACGTTTACTGAAGGCTTGTTTCATGAACTGGCCTACGAAAATCTAGTTTTTGGTGTGTTTGTGAGGTGTGTGTATTTAGAATTTATACTTTTCGTAAATGTTTTAGACCAATGATCCCTCTAATTTTTTCAGTCAATGTACGGAATGAATTTTTTCATATGCACCAGCCTACAGTCATATGCGCTCTCTACAGACCTAAGGGAGAAGATTGTTCAGACGCACAATTCCGGAGAAGACTATAAATCAATATCAAAGGTTCTCAGTTTGCCATTAAGTACTGTAAAATCGGTTGTGAAGAGGTGGAAAGTGTGTCACACTACCTCAACCTTACCAAGATCAGGTCACCCTAAGAAAGTCTGCGCTCGAACAAGGAGAGAAAATTCGTCAGAGAAGCAACTGTCAAGCCAACAGTGACACTGAAGGAGCTGCAGACTTCAATAGCAGCAACTGGAGTTACTGTACACACCTAGACATTATCACAGACCTTACACAAAAAAGCTTTGTATAGTAGGGTGGCAAAAAAGAAACCACTACTGACGAAGATGCATCTTAGATCGTGAATGGACAATGCCCGAAAACATTTCAATAACCCTACCATCAATGGTCAGATGAGACCAAAATATAACTTTTGGGGTTAAATGACAAACGGTATGTATGGCGGAAACCCAACACTGCTCATGACCCGGCAGATATAGTTCCAACTGTCAAGCATGGTGGTGGGTCCTTAATGCTGTGGAGATGTTTTTCTGTAGCTGGCACTGGAGAACTTGTACACATCCAAGGGATCGGGGACAGTGCAAAATATACACAGATACTGGAGATAAACCTGAAGAAGTCAGCTGAAAAACTAAAACTCGATCGAAGGTTTACATTTCAACAGGACAATGATCCCAAACACAGATCAATGGCAACCCAAGGATGGTTTCGGACAAACAAAATTAAAGTCCTTGACTGGCCAAGCCAAAGCCCAGAACCTAAATCAACTCGAAAATCTGTGGAGAGACTTACAAACTGCTGTGCATCGAAGACATCCTTCCAACTTACAAGAACTAGAGGATATATGCAAGCAGGAGTTTCAGTAAAAATGTCATAAACTAGACCTTCTTACTGTCACTGAATGAGCTTTCAGAAAACATGTCATGAACTAGATCTTCTTACTGCAGTCTCCAAACAAACCTTCAGTAAACATGTCATAAACTAGCTCTTCTTACTACAGTCTCCAAACAAACCTTCAGTAAACATGTCATAAATCAGATCTTCTTACTGCTGTCACAGAACGAGCCTTCAGTAAACATGTCACGAACTAGATCTTCTTTCTGCAGTCTCCAAACAAGCCTTCAGTAAACATGCCACGAACTAAATCTTCTTTCTGCAGTCACCAAACAAGCCTTCAGTAAACATGTCACGAACTAAATCTTCTTACTACAGTCACTGAACGGGCCTTCGGTAAACGTGTATGAATTAGATCGTTTTAGATCAATCATAAAACAAGCTTTTATGAACTATTGGGTCTAATACCGTCACAAATAGCTCTTCTGAGCTTGCCATAACCTTATAGTTATTATACCGTTACGCCATAACCTTATAGTTATTATACCGTTACGCCGTAACCTTATAGTTATTATACCGTTACGCCATAACCTTATAGTTATTATACCGTTACGCCATAACCTTATAGTTATTATACCGTTACGCCATAACCTTATAGTTATTATATCGTCATTTTAAAATATCATTTCACAGTCGTTTTAACATCTTTCATGAACAGTTTTGCAAGAGTGTCATAAACTAGTCGTTTTTACATTATCACAGAAAGTCCTTGTGAACTTTTCATGAATTAGTCCTTCTTGCATTGTAACAGATAATCCTAACAAACTTGTTATAAAGTAATCATTCTTACACTGTAACAGAGAGCCCTAGTAAACTGGTTATGAACTAGCCAGTCCTACAATATAATAGATAGCCTTAGTAAACTTGTTATAAACTAGTCGTTCTTACATTGTAACAGATAATCCTAATAAATCTTGTTATAAACTATTCGTTCTCATATTGAAATAGATAATCCTAATAAACATTGTTATAAACTAGTCGTTCTACATTATAACAAATAATCCTAATAAATCTTGTTATAAGCTAGTCGCTCTACATTATAACAGATAATCCTAATAAATATTGTTATAAACTAGTCGTTCTCCTATTGAAATAGATAACTATAGTAAACATGTTATAAACTAGTCGTTCTTGCATTGCAACATATAATCATAGTAAACTTGTTTATAAGCTAGTCGTTCTCATATTGAAATAAATAACCACAGTAAATATATTATAAACTATATGCGCAAAAAGTGAAACTTCATCCAACAAACAATTGTCAATATCTACTGAAATGAAAAAAAAAAAAAAACTATTATAAACTAGTCGTTCTCACATTGCAACATATAATCCTAGAAAACGTTTTATAAATTAGTATTCTTACATTATAACAGGTAGTCCTGGTAAACTTGTTTATAAGCTAGTCGTTCTCATATTGAAATAGGTAACTATGGTTAACGTATTATAAACTAATCGTTCTCATAATGAAATATATAATCCTAGAAAACGTTTTATAAACTAGTATTCTTACATTGTAACAGATAGTCCTGGTAAACTTGTTTATAAATTAGTCGTTCTCGTATTGAAATAGGTAACCACAGTTAACGTATTATAAACTAGTCGTTTTTACATTGCAAAATATAATCTTAGAAAACTTTTTATAAACTAGTGTTTTATATTGTAACAGATAGTTCTAGTAAACTTGTTTATAAGCTAGTCGTTCTCATTTTGAAATATAATAGATAACCATAGTAAACGTGTTATAAACTAGTCGTTCTCACATTGCAACATATAAATCAAATCAAATTCGTGGCAGGAATTTAGGTTTAAAAACTTAACCTGAAATGTTAACAGAAGCATAATCTGGTACAGATTAACGTTAGCTTGTAGTGACGTCACTAGAAACACAATGCGCTATATTTCTTATCTCATAGTGACGTCAACAGAAATACAACCTGGAAAGCTCTTAGCTTGTAATGACGTCAGTAGAAATATCATTATGGGACAATTCTTAAATTATAGTGACGTTAACAAAAGTAGTATGAGACAATTCTTTGTTGTAGACACGATCTGCCAATAGTCCTTACTTATTAATGAAGTCGGCAGGAACATAGTCTGGGACAACTATGATGACGAGGAACCAACTTTTTAGATAATGGTAGAAATGGGTAGTGAAAGAAGATTTATCACAAATGTACAACGTGTGGACAAGCTGATGTTGCTATCAGATTTTCGAAATGTTGTACATTTGTAATAAAGTTTCTTTCACTACCCATTCAAGCCGTCTCCAAACTTAATACTCTGGAACAATTTTTAGCCTGTAGTAACGTTAACATAGGCCCGGCATGGCCAGGTGGTTAGGGCGCTCGACTCATAATCTGAGGGTCACGGGTTCGAATCCCCGTCACACCAAACATGCCAACCTCCGCCTTTGCCTGGTCCCAAGTCCAAGATGAGAAAGGAGGAGGGTTGGGCGCGGGGCTAGCAACTCCACCCCGTAAAAACCAACCTGCTACAAGTAACTTCAACAACAACTTTCCGTTGGTGAGGTGTTGTTACGGCCCTATGCTCCACTGGGAGTTTACAGGTATATAAAAAAAAATATTAACATAATCTAGTACAACTTATATTTTGTAGTACCGTTAACACAAGTTGGTACACCTTTGAGCTTGGGGTGATGTCAGCATAACCTGAAACAGCTTTTAGTTTTCAGTCTCAAAAAGTTCATTACGATAGATAGTTAGTGTGTTAGCCCTTTTGCTCAGTTGGTAAAGCATCCACCTGGCATGCGAGAGGTCCTAATCCGAGTATGCTCGCAGAATGTGTATAAATGGGATTACCATAAAGTGACGTCAGAAAAACAATCTGTCATAGCTTGAGATGACGTCAACAAAAACAAAATCTGAGACAGTTATTGATTTGTACTGATACCAACAGAAATACAATCTGCCACAATGTTTAAGCAATAGTAACGTCAGAAGAAACACGATTAGATATAGCTCTAGCTCTTAGCATGTGTTTCACAAGCAAAATTATTATTACATCGTCAGATGCAGTCCGTACATTTTAGTATATTAAATACTAAATACACTGACCTGCAGTTCTCAAGGTGTTTCCTAATTATTTGGAAAACCATGTGAAAGTGTCCTGTTTTCTGATAGGCTACATTGTCATCATGCTGGAGGTAAGTCCTTATTATTTACCTAAAATAAAAGTATCATTGATACATATATCTTATGATAGTCTTTGAATAACAGAGGCTCGGGGACTTAGAACTTCCAAAGCGGAGATATCCCTCGTGATTAATGGCATTAGAAAGCAAATGAATATGGATCAATTTGGGGAATCCAGGACTATCTATAAATAGAACTGCAACAATTCATAACTCTAGTTATGGTAGGCAAAGTGCGGTGTCTTGTATCAAGTGAGGATTCACAATTACAAAGATCAGTGGCAAAATCCCTCCATGTGTTCAAGGAAACAGTGCGCCACACAATCAAGAAGGATCTCTATCTGGTAAAATGACAAAAGCCACTTGTAACAAGTTGCTTCCCAGATGTATCCTTTCAACCATCGCATACCTGAAGCATATGGATAATGAAAAGGTATTCATGCTATTTACAAAGATATCTATGGAATTTTGTTGAATAACCATCATCCAGAAGACAGGAGGAAGAGTGTGCTTTAAACGTGACAGTCCTAAAAAGAGGCCTTTTTAGGGCTATTGGCGAGTTGCACGGTCGTCAGGTATAGCAGACTAGACGTGACGACATGGGCTGTAACAACGTGAGGATCCAAAATCGATTTAATATAATGTATTTAACCTCTGCGTAAGTTAAAAGTGTATGCACTTAACATATGAATAATTTTCGATAATACAGTTAGTATTAAAAAAAGAAGGGTGTGAGTTCTTTTCATTCTTATTTCAAAGGTAGTTTCAAATATAAATATTTCAGGTCCATTTTTACATTCAAAATTAGGATTTTTTTCTTTCTGATAATAGACCATTGCATGATAGATGGACTTCTATTATTTTTGACCATGGTAAAAATGTGATTTTTTTACATCGATATATCAAATAATTTACGATAAACTTCAGCAAATAGAAAATATAATCACCGAGCTCCAATAACTTCTAATATCATCAACAGGTAATGATAAAATGGAGATCTCAAATGCAAGTGGAGCAGATTAGAAATTCTAAAACAATACGTCATCTTACTTAATACTTAGTGATTTGGAACAATAATATTGGCTCGTTGGCTCTTTCTTTTTATAAAAACTAAATGATAAAGCTGATTTTAACAAGCAAAAATACGTCTAATGGCATTTTAGACAAAGTTTACATCCATCACTATTTTAATGTGATTTTTACTTTATGATATTTTTTCGGTAGTCTCACTTCGTGGAATTTATACTGGAAGAAGACTAATACAATCGTAGCTAACGAAGTTAAAATGCACTTTATTTCTGTCACCAGTATTCCCATCGGATGTCTTTTAAAGGAATATTTTTACTTAAATGTAAAACATTTTTCAAGTAGTGTCATACAAAACCTGAAAAGAAAAGTTCAGCTAAATAAAAGTCGAGTTTCTTTAGGAAGGAAGATTAATAATATATGTTTGGAACCGAGAAATATTAGACAGAGAGCAAATACGAATTCGTTTTGTTTCAGAAAAGTAGTCCTACGCAGTATTTTTGGTATCGAGAAACACTGGACATCACGGAGAGTCTGGAGACACCAGGAAAATTCAGTTGGAGAATCGGTGTGTGTCTTCTAGTGGCATGGATTCTGTGTTATCTCTGTATGATCAAAGGAATAGCTTCTTCAGGAAAGGTAATATTTTGATCATTGGCTAGCTTTGTCATTAAATGTGAAATATTCATTGAGAGATAACGCCTTTAGTGGGGGAGAATTTTACTTTGTCATTAAATGTGAAATATTCATTGAGAGATAACGCCTTTAGTGGGGGAGAATTTTTAACCATTACATCCTATACTGACAATATGGTACCCCTTTATCAGTTTCTTGTCTTTACTGAGAAAGTAACTTCAGATAAACACATTATTTTTGGGAGGAAGCTACCCATTAATTTTACCTGAGAGTTTGCTCCTTTGTTACTTTTACCGAAAACCCGTTATGTATTCTGCGAGATATCTTTACTGGAAAAGCTACCATTGTATCCTATACTGATGATATGATCCAACAAGATATCTTTACTGAGGAAGCTTATCGCCAGTATGAAATACGATGATTATTTCACAGGAAGGGTATTTTGTTGGATCGTGTCGACAGTATAGGATATAATGATAGCTTCCTCAGTAAAGATATCTTGTTGATTATGATTAAGGGCGAAGGAAAAACATATCTTTAGTGACGGCAACTTCTTGATTAAGGAGGAGGGTAACAATATTGTCAACAGAAGAGTGGATAATATAATGGTAGTTTCTTCTGTAAAGGTGTATTGTTGTTTATGGGGCTACCATGATCATTAAAGGATCTAATGGTAACTTTCTCAGTGAATGTCTTTTGTTGTTCAAGGAGACACCATAGTTAATGGAAAATATTTTACAAACTGCAGTTCCTTCACAAACGGAGAAGCTTGAAAGCAGTAAAGAATGTTCTGGAATCACTGATATGTAATTGTACAGTCGTAGAATACTAAGTTGTTCTCAAGCTGTCGCACAGCCCAACCAAGGGAAATAGCTTGAATAATTTGGTTGTGCCAAATCGTGTAGCTGTAAGAAAATAGCTGTTAATGCTACTGTAAAGAATAATATTGTTTTGTAGTTCATTTTTTATAGTTTACCTTAACTCTTATAACGATAAGTTAAACTAATGTAAACATATAAATTTCAAATGGTTATTGGAGGATTATTAATAGTTTCAAACATTATGAAATGAAAAGCACAAATGTGAGTACGTAAGAACAGTTAAGCACTAGGTTGAAAATCAAAGAAAAAATAGAGCAAAGTAGGTTTAAAAAAGTGCAAGTTTAGGACTAATGAGGTGAAGATTAAAATAACAAAATGATTGCTATAGAGGGAAAGATGGAGCATAGCTATACCAAAGGAATTAATATCAAAGACACGGAATTAGACGAACAAAAAAGAAGATAAAAATATTAGACCTATCCAAGAAAATTCAAATAAGAAATGTATAATGATGAAACAAGTGTGATGAAACAAGAAACGAAACTAGTGTTAACAGAGTGGTAAACAAATAAGAAACAAAACTAGGGCCAAAAGAGTGATGATGAAAGAGATACACAACTAGGACCAACAGAGGGATAATGAAAAAAGATAGAATTAGGACCAACAGAGTGGTGAAGATATAAGAAACATAATTTGGTCTAGCAGAGTGATGACAAAATAAGATAAAATCTAGGACCAACAGAGGGATTATAAAATAAGAGACAAGACGAGAACTAGTGAGCGATGATAACGTCAGATAAAAACTAGGAATAATATAATGAGGATAAAATAAGAAAAGTAATTAGGACCAACAGAGCGATGATAAAATAAGACTCAAAGAATGGTGATAAAAAAACAGAACAATAACAAAATGTCACTGAAAAGTAGGATCAACTGAGAGATGACGAAACAATAAATATAAGTAGTACAGGCAGTATTGATGATACAAACAACAACAGTAGGACAAACAAGGAGATGATGAAATATAACTAGGATCAACAATGTAATGATGAAACAAGAAACAAAACTAGAAACAACAGAGTGATGATGAAACAAAAAACAAAAGTAGGACCAACGTAGTGATAATAAGATATGAAACAAAACTAGAATAAAATAAAAAGGTGATAAACAATAAAATGAATATCGAAAAAAGAGACATAATTAAAAGTAAAGAGCGAGAAACGTAAGAATTAACAAACAGAAGAACAAATTCAAGAGGAAACAAATAAAAAATATACGTCTTTAATGTCAACTACTAAAACAATGTTCGTCTATTTTTTTGTTTAGGCCATGACATTATAGGAAGTTATCTAATTGATATGGCATCATGTTAAACATGGTTCAAGATTTTCAAGGAAACACTAGCAACCATCGCTTCTATTTTTATCATTAGAATGAATCACTTTTCAGTTTCTTTACTGGTAAGAGCAAAAGACTTCTCACTGCCGATAGCATCCAGCTGAGGCTTAATGGCAAGTGTGCCCAGACTATGAGCCCGAGCATTTAAGATTCGCGATCTGTTGCTGCAAAATCATGCTCCAAACTTAAGGTTGTATGTGAATTCTAAGAATGAAGGTCAAATTACACTCTTTGATTAGAGTGACCGGAGAGTTGGGGGAGTGGGGGTGATGTTGACTAGCTACCTTATTTCTAGTCTATCATATCAAAATTAGGGTTAGCGCAAATAGTTCTTATGCATCTTTGACAGCTGAGTTTAATGCCGACTTCTCTGTTACTTTTAAGATTTGGATGTTTTACCTACTGAATCCTGATTATATCAATCGGTTCTCTCACAATCCTATAAACTGAGAGATATAGAATTTGAAAACTATGAAGGAGGGTGGGGGTACACCGACTTTAGGGATCTCTGATGAGGCCGTTTAGCTCATGTGTATTATGTTTCATAAGAAACTGGTTGAAAATAAGCATCGTTATTGATCTTTTATTAGAATGTCAACCATGAAGCTCCCATTTCCAATTTTTTTTTAAAGAAAAACTTAATAATCAGTGGCGTTCTCCATTTTACAGAACATATTCCTTTAAAAAAAACTTCAACTAAAACGGATCTATTGGCAAGAAGAAAGAAAACAACGAACTAGATGAGAAAGAATCAAACGATTTTTAGAATAGTATCTATAAATATGAGTAATTAATTCTTCTGATCAAAACATTAATATTCTAAATTTTCCATAATTCATCATAGTTTAACTCCCCGACTGGTTCGAAGGTTTTGGACTCTCTTAGGCCTTAACAAAGAAAACAAATGTGATTTCTGTATTGTTTTCTCTATTTTTCAGGTTGTCTACGTAACAGCTACCTTTCCTTACATCGTACTCGTTATTTTCTTTTTTCGTGGGATCACTTTGGATGGCATGAAAGACGGGATTGTCCATCTCTTCACTCCAGATGTAAGTTGGGATGATTATATTCAAATAGCATGCTTTAATGAAATAAACTTAAGTATAACTTTAAATGGCTGCCTTTAGTTATTTGTATATGGAATTTTCGTTGTCATGGTTTTATATATTAAATTTATAAATAACATTTTTCAGTACTTTTTACTATTCCTAATGAAAGGGTTTATAGGATACGCCCTGAATTTATGATTGTTAGCATGATTGCTAAATTAATAAATCCAGCGAAAGATAACTAGAAAATATCTAATTTTTTATTGTATATTTATCCCTGCTATTTTTATGCCATATGCACAGGTTTTTAAAGAAAATTTAATTTTTTCTTTCCTAACTCTCCTTTATTTTGAGAGATTATCACAACAAGAAAGGTATATTTTTCATAGAATTAGTTTTATATGTCTTAGTTGTATAATCGTTCTTTTGAGAATACAAACGTTTTTATTCTAGAAAATCATTCTCATTTATTCTCCCCCGGTGGTACAACTGTAAGTTCGATTCCTCGCGATGGTCATAGCAGATATTTCAATGTAGCTTTGCTCTAAGACAAACAAAAGAATAAACTGAAATCTAAATATCATTATGCGTCTAAATGCTACTCGAGAAAATGTTGAGTATTGTTTTCTAACTAAAACACTTACATTTTATCTTACCTCTCAGTGGGGGAAGCTTGCCGATCCTATCGTCTGGTTGGAGGCTGGGACTCAAATTTTCTTCTCCTTAGGCTTAGCTTTTGGAGGACTCATTGCTTTCTCTTCTTATAATCCTGTCCATAATAACTGTTACCGAGACGCTGTTTTGGTTTCAACATGCAATGCAGGAACATCGATGTTTGCAGGAATAGTTGTGTTTTCTATTTTAGGTAAGGATCTTAAAATAACGCTGGTTGATCTTTCCGAACAATACTAGTCATTTTGAGTAGGAGGTATTAGTTTTTAATGTAGTTAAGGAACTGTTAGCAGTGTTGATTTTTCTTGCTGAGAGACTCATAATAACATAAACTTAAGATTGTTTTAAATAAGAAGTTCTTAACAGGTTATTTTAGGTAAGGAGCTTCTAAAATACGGCTGTCTTAAGTGACCTTTTAACATTGACGATTATTCTAGGGAAGGAAATTCTATCAGTTTCAGTTATCTTCTTAGGAAAGAAGTGTTAAAAGAGGCGGTTATATTAAATGACTCTTAACAATACTGATAATTCTCAGGAAATAAGTGTTACTAGAGACGGTAATATTAAGTGACTCTTAATAATACTGGTTATTCTTGGGAAAGAAGTATAAACAGAGTTGGTTATCTTCAGTGAATCTTAACGTCGCTAGTTATTCTAGAGAAGGAACTTCTAACAATGCCTGCTTAACAGTATAGGAGGCACTGGTAGGTAAATATACTTAACAGTATTAGTTGTTTTGGTAATGTAATCTATTCTAGATTAGGGATTTCTTGCAATGCCTTTTTTTTAGGTAAGGAACTTCCAACAATGTTAGTAATTCTGTAAGAAGCGCCCCCCAGTGGCACAGCGATATGTCTGCGGACTAACAACGCTAAAAACCGGGTTTCGATACCCGTGGTGGGCAAAGCACAGATAGCCCATTATGTAGCTTTGTGCATAAATTCAAAACAAACAAAGAAACCGTAAGAAGCATCTAACAATAATAGTTATTGTGAATAAGGGACTGTTAATAATGGTGACTATTTTAAATAAGGGATACCAAACAATGCTGATTAATCTGAATAATAGCATTCTAGCTTTTATTAGGAAACATATATATATATAAATACCCGTATCTTCCACTAAAGTTTTTATTTTCCCATATTTCTCCTTGAGATTTATTACTTATTGATTAGGACAGTACAGTAGGAATCATTACCTTTTTCACACGAGAAAACAGAAGAGAGAACGTCCTCATGACACTGACCAAGTTCCATCTGACTTACAGGTTTCAAGGCCCACATGGCCCACGAGCGCTGTGTTCAGGAGCGTTACGAACTTCTCAGTCCGTTTTACAATTCCTCCGTGATTCCCTCACACCTGACACAAGACGTAATAGAAAAACTACTGAACAACTCCGATGTAATCATTCCATACGACTTCCCTGAATGTGACCTGAAAAAGGAATTGGAAAAGGTGAATTTGGATTTTATAATTTTCTTAACTTCAGTATAGAGACACATAGTGTATATGAATAGCAACCAAGATCAATGGAACAAATGATATGTATAATATTTAGGTACTTCTAAAAGGCACATATATATATACGTATATATATCAGAAATAAACCCATACTTGTACTCCAGGGCAACAGAACGGAACAGATGATATATATATAGCACTTTAAACTGAATAAGAGAAGTAGTGAATCCTGTAATTAACGAAGATGATTTATTTATGAAACATTCATGCCAGAGATGTAAGAAACGCAAACTGAGTCAGTTGCGGAGAGACGAGGAAGTCTTTACTCAGTTTTATTTTTTTGTGGATACATATTTCTGCGGAACAGTGATCTTGTTTAATCGGATATCATTATGAAAGAATTACCCCCACCCCTCCACCCTCCACAGTGATTTGTTTTTATATCGTTCATCCGTAGATCAGAAGATTTACTGATGTTCCACCGGAGGGGGGGGGGGCATTATATTGAGTAAGTTTGTGTTTTTTACTTTCACAACACTCGTAAATAATGGTCAAATTAAAAATTGGGTAAAATCACCCAATTTCTGTGTAAAATACACAAGAAACTCCAGAAACAATTAGTGGGATTAATTTTAGTACTGAGACTTCAATACTTTATTATTAGGTGCCCTGCAACCAAAAAAATTCATGAACTCTCAACCAATCAGTACATAAACAGTTCAGAAAAATTTCCTTAGAAATGGGATTGCTAGAGTTAATACACTTGTTTCTAGCTACAAGTATAATTTTATGCATTTAATATTTTCTTTCAAAAGTTACGTATTATTAGATAAAAGTAAAATACAGCGTCATTAGTAGTCTAAGGGGTAGGCCTAGAGCGGCATATTGAAGGCCAGCAGAATGGGGGGAGGGGGAGCGCAAGAGTGGGCAGGACGAAAGAATGGTGGGGAAAATGACCCTTTCCCTGAAGAAAGGCATACACACGAAATAACACAGAACCGGGACTCCCTTTGCAGAAAAATAAATAAATTTAGAAAATAACGTACAAACTTTAATGAAGTTTTTAAATACTGAATATAACATTTTAAACTGATAAAATGCCGACAGTTATGACATATAATCTGAACTGTCTTGAAGTAGAGCTAAATATATTAATATATATGTGTGTGTGTGTGTGTGATGTCAGGCGGGTGCCATTTTGAATTTTTGCCTATGTCTAAGAATCATCTTCAACCGGCCCTGTACGGCGTAAGATACTAAAATATTTTCTTTTAAATCTTCACTGAATCTAAATATAGTTACACAATTCACACTTTAAGCCTAATACGGACCTAAAGTACAGCCATTTTTATTGAGGTATTTCATCTTCAAACATATTTTATTTTTGAAATGTTAATCTTTCTTCCCTGAAAGTAAATATTACCTGAAAGTTTTTTGTTTTTTTTTTCTATTATCACTTATCAAAATTGAATGAAATCTGTAATAATCTTGGACTGCCAAATCAAATAGACATTATCTTGCTGATTTTGTTTTCTCTCCTCAGAGCGCCTCTGGAACAGGATTAGCATTCATTGCGTTTACAGAAGCTGTTAACCAATTTCCCGCGGCACCTTTTTGGTCGATTCTTTTCTTCTTGATGCTCTTCACCCTCGGTATCGACTCTCAGTTCGGAACGCTAGAAGGCGTTATTACCTCTATTGTTGATCTGAAGTTGTTTCCGAATCTACGTAAAGAGATCTTGACAGGTAGTGTTTATTTATTTTTAATCATAATAAAAGCATGAAAACTAAACTACTCAAACAAGTGAAGTAAATGTTACTTTATTGAAGTATGTTGAAGATTTCCGTAAATTTTGCTCAAAATTTCGTTTTAAATACTGCCAAGCTTAATGAGCTAGGAAAAAAAACGAAACTATATATACTAAATTTCTTTAACTTTTGATTTATTTTTTAAGATAAATATATAATTTGTATTAGATTATTTTCAGAATCTTCATCAGCTTTCATTAAGCTTGCCATGCACTGAGATAGCTCAGGTGTATTCTTAATAGTGTTATATTTATACTTTTGGAAGCTTCTTTGATATTATAGTCATGAAGTAGAAGGAAAAGTATTTATAATTTCCTAATTATTAGATTATCATTATAATTCATGAACTGTTGCTACACGTTTTTATTTCCTTTTTTTATGGACTACACCTAAAACAAAATGCTAGCGAATAAAAAACAACATATTTACCCAAATGGATAAAGTGTTGTTATAAAAAAAGGAGTTAATAGAAAGAGGCATACTATGTAAAAAAGAATTAAAACTTAAAATGAATCTAATTGAAGAAGGCATCGAGAATCTACAGGGGGGGGGGGGTTACGAATGATAATTTTGAAAAATGCAGGAGGACATCAACAACAACAAAAGAGGCTGTAATGACAAAATTAACGAAGTCGAAAGTGAGTTAGAAAAGAATATCAATGACGGATTAAAACATCTGGGAAGTGATTTATTAAATGAGAAGATTAAACCAGCCATACCTCTTTCTGCATCAGCTTGATAGTTTCAACCTAAAACACCGTTTATTACGAAATACGGAATAGGAGAACTTATTTGGTGTACACCTATCACCACTATTGCTGTTCAACCTGTTACTGGACGACATTCTTAGAGTACTCCAGCCGTGACACTACTAAATCAAATTCCAGAATCTAGCTGGCCAGTTCAACATCAGCCAAATGAGAAACCAACGAAGTATGGTGAGAATGTACCATGGGAGTGATACTAGGCTCAGTTTGAAATCATTTCCAGAATAGTGAACAATCAATTTTGCTGCCCATTTAAAAAAGGACCAGCGTTAACAACACTAATTAACCTTCAGCTGAGAGCTGTAACAACTATCAAGCATTGTTAACCAACAAATTCAGAATATCGTACCAAAAAAAGTATCCAGAGCAAAGTTCCGGAATAGGGTACAGAAGAAAGAAGAAACCTTAGCCAAACTTGCAGAAGATTTAAAAAGGTTTCCAAGTTATCTTACCCAGATGCTTATCATGAAATGATGGATTCGTTGGTACGTGACCAAATTATAGATGCTATAACAGATGAAGATATGAGAATTAGGTTGAAGCAAAGTAATTGTACGTCTTTAAAGGAAGTTCTACAGTTGGCGATGGAACTTGAATCCATTAAACTTGCAGATAAACTACTAAAGGAACCATCTAGAAGTTATGGGATTATCAGATCGTGTAGCATTGAAACATCAACTTCCCTTAACAATAGTCTAGAAGGACTGAAAGAATTTATGAGACAGCTAGTTTTATAATAAATGGGAGAAATAAACCACAAGAACATACATGTCTTATGTGTAACTTTTAAAGGGCATATTGCCAGAAACTGTAGCTTTAATCCAATATTGATAGAGAATTCCCAGAATATATTAGAAAATAGGAACTGTTGTAATTGTAGGAAACCTGGTCATTACAATCTGTTATAAAGCCAAAGAAACAGAGCTAAACCAGATGTAAAGAAACAACACAGAACTAATGAAACATTAATAAAACAAGAATTAGCTGGACTTATGAGGCGAGGTTCAGTTTGAAACATTCCACCTATCCCATGTGGGAAAAGAAGTTCATTATTTGAAGAAAATCGTCCATGGGTTTATTTATAGAAAACCCTGTAGTATGTTGATCGACACTGACTTCACAGCTACAATAATTTTCCCTGTTTGGTAATGAAAGGTGGGAAATTGCCTCCAGAGATTAAGAAAGATGAGGGAGCGATGCGAACATCAAGTGCACATAAAGTTTCAGCAAAAGGGAAATCAAGATAGTTACTCTAGGAAGCTTCTCTACACCTCACGATGTGGGGGTAATTGATATCGAGGAAGATTACATATATTTGGAACTGACTTCATTCGTAGACATGGATGCAAAGTTAGACTAATAGGATTAGTATCGTCTATGAGTAGAAAACCCCTATGCACAACATGGCAATTACTATATCCGAGGTTGAAGTTTCAGTGAAAACAGGTACAGTGAACGTTGTACCACGAAAAGATGAAATACTCAGACCAGAAGTTGTTAGTAATAATTCTTCATCTAGTGACTGTGGCATAGTGAAACCAAATACTCTGGCATGTCATAAGGAATCGGTGGTTGGAAGAGCTCTCGTGCATATCATACATAACTTTACCCAGGGAAGACGTAAATCAGATTATAATAAAATGAAAAGTAGCTATGATGTCAATGCTGATAAGACTGAATTCTATTGAAATAACATGATATAGCTTTACAATCTATGCCACAAGAAAAAACGAACTCCAAAGTTAAACAGGTGCTGGGAGGGGCCACATGCTTATCGATAACAATCAGTGTTGTGGATTACAGAATCCAGAAAGATAGAAAACCCAAAACAAACGGCATCCACCCGTGGTCATCTTTGAAAGTACGTTGGTGAGAGAACGGCCAACTGGGTAACTTTGGAGAAGAACTTTTCAGCGGAAACTCACTGTGTTGAAGATCCAGAAGTTCCTGTCGATACTACTTTAGGAGATTCATCAAGGTTGGAGCCGCCAGTAGATTCACTCTACTACCTATTTAAAGAGAATTTCCCCATTGACAACACAGAAAAAGACACCATTATATCTGTATACCATAGGCCTCGGAAAAGAAAACCGACAAAAAAGACTTGATGAATGGACAGTTTAGTGTACACTTTTATTATTTTTTTATTGTATTGTTCAAGGGACTTCACAATCCAAGAAAGGGGCAGTGTTGTAAGCTTTAGTTTTAATGTTTCAATTTGTTTAGGTAAAGAAAGCTGTATGTCGTAAATGTGACGCTAAGGGCAAAAGGTTGAATAATATTGGACTTGAAAGCTCTAAAGATTTGACGACAAGTTTTCTAATAAATTCAATAATAGGTTACAAATACAAGGTTTGGAAAATAAAGTGAAGAATATAAGGAGTTGCTTCCAGCAGGTGGAGTGTATCAGACAGCGTGTTTTCGTTTTCAGTGAAGGCAAAGGCAGCCAACTGCACAGAGAAGACTAAATAAAATTGTTGTCAGCAAACATATTGAGTGGGTCAATGATATTCTGGCCCCAATTTAATTATTGGGACACATCCTCCCCAATCGGTCTATGATTCTGAAATAATAACTCCCAAATTTAGGTTGTTGTTGTTTTTTTTGGGGGGGGGTTCATTAAAATGTTTAATTCTGTCTCTCGATAATTCAGTCATCAGAGCGTGAAATTTATAGGTTTTGTTGGCAGAAGGCAAAACCTATTTATCACAGCTTTTCTACTTAAAGAGAAGGGACTTTTCATAGCAGTATCAATATAGATGCTAGACTATAGGCCTGTAGCAGGCGTGTCGCGAATAAGCCAGAGGGATCGATGCCGCGTTCAAGCAAAACCATCCGAATCAAGTGTCAGAGAAATAGTACGTTGATGTGTTGACGTCACACTCAATGCGTGCTGTTCCACTTATTACGAATCATTGTACTTGAATAACCTCTGCCACATTTTTCCTTTCTGTTTTCCTGCTATTTGGATTATTTAACAAAAGTACTGACTATTTTTCAAATGATGAGCATTTGTTTGAAACGAAATCTATTTTTCACTGAGTTTGACTTACTTTATTTTTTACAACTTTGAACTTTATAAAAGTATTCTTCCTACAGATGATATATATGGCAGTTACTCAAGGACTGTACGTTCTTTCGTATTCACATGTTGTTAGTTTGTTTTACAATTTTCTAGCAAAGCTAAACAAAGGACTGCTTGTACATAACTGTTCCTTATTTTGAACTGATAGGCTAGAGGGAAGGTAGCTAGTCAATAGCACCCACCGCTAACCCTTGGGCTACTCTTACCTGACCTAATACTATGATTTAGTCGTCACTCTTACGGTACACCGGCCCTAAAGTGTGGAGTATGATTTTGAGGCAACGAAACGCGAATCACGTATTCTTGGATTCACTAACCACATCAAATGTAAGCCACGCCCAGAACCCTCGTGTTAAGCCTACTGATTAAAATGCGTTTTTAAAAATATACTCGATCCTGATTTGTCTGAAATGTTTTTTTAGTACAAAACTACACAATGGACTATCTTAACTCTGTTCACCGCGGGGATTGAACCCGGACCTTAGCATTGTAAGTACATAACCTTATGGGGGGACTGTCTGAAATGACTCTTGATCAGTGCATAGTAATTAAGCAGTAAGATGTCATAAATACAAGTTATTGTTTTGATCATTTATTTGTGATAGGATTTCGTCAACGGAATACAATAAAACATTTCAATTTGTTAAATTAGAGTTTTACGTGAACTTTCTAGGTTTAAACTATTTATCTATTAATTTAAGGTATAAACACACTGAACCTCATTAGGAAAACCAGCGTTTTAAGTTTAAACACACTGAACCTCATTAGGAAAACAAACGTTTTAAAATATAAACACACTGAACCTCATTAAAAAACAAGCGTTTTAAAGTATAAACACACTGAAGCTCGTGAGGAAAACAAACGTTTTAAAGTATAAACACGCTGAAGCTCGTGAGGAAAACAAACGTTTTAAAGTATAAACACGCTGAAGCTCGTGAGGAAAACAAACGTTTTAAAGTATAAACACTCTAAAGCTCGTTAAGAAAACAAACGTTTTAAGGTACCAGATAAATAAAATATTGAGAATTTAAAAATCCGTAAATAGGGATCGTAAGAAAAGTAAGCAAACGATGTTGAAGATACTGTAGACATTCGTCTTCGTCTACTTAATAGCCGATTCATTTACTTATTTTGTACTGAAAAATTATATTACCGTAGGAGAAGTATGTATATATGGCATGAACCACAAGTTAATATATATATCCGACATTTCACTGATCTTATAGTTCTCCGTCATTATGGAAAATGACAGCTCTAAACTACAGACAGTAGTAACAGCTTAACCCAACCTCATAACGAAAGATAGTGATACAAATATTGCCTAGACCACTAATATGCCTGTCGTATCCCAGCTGTCCTCATGAGCCCTAGTGCTCGACGAAAGGCTTCGTCGGCATTAGGTATGACAAATGCCGTGTAATTGATATATTATAACAAAGGGCGAGCAACTGCCCCGCAGAATCCGCGGTGCGAGGGGTCCATGCTAAATAGGGGCCCATAGCGCTATAATAAATTGGATATGAATGGGATGCGATGAGAAAATTCGCAGGGGGGCCCCACACATTCTGCGATATGCCGCTAATTACAACATATTCTAGATGTACTTCTGCAGGGTCCCCGAAAGTGTTTAATTTCAAAAATAAATAAAACCAATATTAAGAGTAACAAATATTTTAATTTCTTGCTTTTGAATTCATATGTCACGCTGTGCTGTAGCCTACAGAGTGCATAATTCTCTCGTGATTCATGGCATGCACGACAGTACCAATTGCTACTTTAAAGCGTCCCTTATGTGACGTCATTTTAGTGTCTACTTACTGACAGACAGACAACACACTACTGTATAGTGGTGCCAAT